GCCGGGAGCAGCCACTGCACTCCAGTCTGGGCAACAGAGTGAGACTCCAACTTAAAAAAATAAAATAAAATAAAATAAAAACAATATGTACTCTTGGAACCAGTGCAATATAGAAGTATATACATGGAAAAAATAAAAATTTTCCAGTGACATTAAAGGTGAAAAACAGCCTCTGTTAAAAATTTAAAATATATTTTCCAGACCGTATCCTATAACATGCACAAGACTATAATATACATGCTACTTTGTAACTTGCTTCTTTCACTCAAGAAGAGATTAGATAGATACTAATAGAAAGAACAGATACTTTGGTTCGTTGAACTCACCTCTGTAAACTCATTGAAGATGGTGCTTTTTGTCTCGTTGACTGATGATTTTCTACAGTGAAGAGCCTGGCTGCTGTATAATCAACTCCTAATGAACTCATTTATTAAAAAATAAGCCATAACTAAACACAAAGACCGCAACTTCAAGTATTTATGCCGCAATCCCTTCCCTAAAATGGCTATTTCAAGTTACAGTCTTAAAGCCTCTCGAGATGTTTGGATTTTCTTTCTTTACAAGATGGCTCAGATAAACACAACATAAAACAAAACACCACGTGGGAATCTCTGAAAGTATCTAGATCTTTGCTTCCTTAGCAGTGGGTTACAGATTTCTTTCTAAGCATTCACAGGAGTCATACACAGAAGTTTCTAAACAGTCCCACTCCCTAACACAGGAATGGCTTTCTTGTACATTGCAAATTGTCCTGAGGCCCAGGGAAATTTTGAGGGGTAGTAAGTACACAGATTTACCAGAGTGCCCCCCTTATGACATTTTAACACACAAGGGGGAACCCTCCAAAATGGAATTTATTTGTAAACAATTGTATATTTATTCTTACATGTTTCAATTGCAGTCACCTTCAAAGTACTCTCCGTGTGATGCAGTACACCTACTGAGACGTTTTTTCCACTGCTCAAAATAGTTTTTGAACTCATCCATTTGAATACCTTTTAGTGCTTTTGCTGTTTTTTGTTTCATCTTTCTCACATCCACAAAACATTTCCCTTTAAGGACATTTTTCATTCAGGGCTCTGGGTGAGATCCAGTGAATAGGAGGGTGGGGTACAGAGCTCGTGCCAATTTTGGTCAAAAACCACTCAATACTCAGCATAGTGTGGGCGGGTGCACTTGTAAATCACCCATCATGAAATGGGTAAGTATGTTGAAAGGATCTCCAAAAAAAATTCACTGAAGTTGAACATAGCCTCTTGTAACAATGATAGCTGGTCCACTGATGCTGATGAGTTCCTAGAACACCCACCTGGGGCGTGGGGGATGGGGCCACCCTTCAAAAGATAATTTTGGTTTTTTTGGGCCCCCTCTCGAATGTGATGAAACAATAACTGCTAGGTGCAGGGAAGAGTAGGGGATGCTAGTGAGAAATAAGGTGTGAACAACAGTGATGGTTCCAGGAGTTCACATGATCTTTCTTAGCTCCAGAAGAAAATGCAGTAAGTCCCCTATGTATGAACTTTCAAGTTGTGAACCTTCAAAGATGCGAACGTGTGTTTGCACGTCCAGTCATGGAAGTTAGCTCATGGAAGTTAGTTAGCTAGTGTCTGGTGTCCATTGCCACATGCATGCACCCTCCACAAGTGGTTGTGCCTTTGTGTACTTTACTGGACAGGAATTTCTAGAGCACAATAGTGTAGACAGATCTTTATTTCAAGCCCAGGATGTCCGGAAGCAAGCATAAAAGCAACGGGATACAGCTGGTACTGCATAACCGATTGTGTTAGTTGGGTCCCTAGGCTGACTTTGTTGGACTTACGAACAAACTGGACTTATGAATGCATGCTTAGAATGGAACGTTCCTATGTAGGAGACTTCCTGTAGTAATTCGATAAAAACAACCCTATCGCCAGTATACTGAAGTGAACTGTAACAAGACTGACGTGAGAGCTAATAACACACATTATTCAGCAGGCAAACCCTCATGGTCAACACCCATGCTGGGTGCAACACCCAGACGGACATCCCGAGGCCTGCCTCCAACTCCTCTTAAGTAAACTGCCAACTCCAGACCCTTCTACCCAAAGGTCATACAAATACAACATCGGTTTTCTGTCCATGGGTTGTCCTCTCTACCTCCAGACCCAGCCAAAACCCCCAGGGAGAGGCCCAGGGCTCTAGGAGATGGGATTTCATGGGCCACTGGGAGAATGCAATTTAAATCTCACTGTGGCAAGTTCTTAGAGAATAACCAGAATGCTTAAAACTGAACATGTTGAGTTCCCACCAAAGATCAAGATGAACTGGGTGTAGTGGCTCACACTTGTCATCCCAGCACTTTGGGAGGCCGAAACGGGAGGATCGCTTGAGCCCAGGAGTTTGAGATCAGTCTGGGCAACATAGTGAGACCTCATCTCTACAAAAAAAAAAAAAAAAAAAAATAGCCAAGTGTGATGGCACACACCTGTAGTCCCAGCTTTTTCAGGAGGCTGAGGTGGAAGGGTGGCCTGGGCCTAGGAGGTGGAGGCTGTAACAAACTGTGATTGTGCCACTGCACTCCAGCCTGGGTGACAGAGTGAGACCCTGACTCAAAAAAAAAAAAAAAGAAAGAAAAGAAAAGGAAACCTAAGACTAGAAAAAGAAACACAGGAGGAGACACTCGGGGAGAGGAGGATGGGACACCTCTCCTCGTTGACATCCTGTGTCCTGTAAGCACACAAACAGCACCCACCCACCTTTTCCCGTTGCCGTCCTGTGTCCTGTGAGCACGGGACAGCGCCCACCCACCTCTTTCCATTGCTGTCCCTCAGCATGGCTTTTCCCAGGACTCGGGACTTGGTTTCCAGCTCCTGCACCTCCTCCAGCAGCGACTTTTTGCAGGTGTGCTTCGCCCTGAATCATGAGGAAAAAACAGACAGAACATGGTGTCGGAGCTCGACACAGCTGGGCAGATCCATCCCTCCCCTTGGGGCTACCCCCACTGCTCTTTGGCCAGGGCTGAGGCTGGGAACCCAAGGAGGATTCACCATCTCCGCACCCCCCTGGGCTCCATCCCCACAGCCCTGGGGCACCCTAAGGGCTGCAGACCAGGCCCGGACCACACACCAGGCCCAGACCATGCATGACAGAGGTCTCCCCACCCTCTCCCAGCAAAGGCCTGGATGTCTGTGGGTCTGGCAGGGGAGTGCAGCCATTCAGACTCCAGACCCAGTAGATTCATGAAGCCTGGGTCAGTCTCTAAAGCAGGCTCTGTCTGAAAACAAAAGACGCTTGAAACCCTCACCCAGTGTGCTGGGCCTGTGGTCTTGCAGTCAGAGAGCCCAGCAATGACAGCTTTCTCCCTCCCATTTTAGTGTGAAGAGGGCCACTGCCACAGCAAGGATGCGTTTATCTAGAAAGTTCGGGATGCAAAACCCTCAACCTGTAGTGTGGGGTCTACGGAGATACCCAAGCACAGATCTTCCACCTTTCTCAGGGAGCAAAGCTCCACCAGGATCGCAGGGGCAGGCCTCGAGGGCATAACACAACTTGCGAAAGAACAAAAGCTGGCTGGCTTTGCCACCACAAGCTGAGCCTCGGCCTGGACAGATCGCTCTTCTTGGGCTGCAGAAGAGTTCCCTGTGTGACTTTTTCTGATGAAACTGAGTCACCGCGTCCAGATAATTGGCGGACCCTGGGGACCTTCTAAAATCGAGACTGAACAAAGCCAAAATTGGGTCACAGGTTGGAAACAATCTAAGAAAAGGCAGCTAACAAGATTCAGGTTAGATAAGAGAGCATAAAAACTGTAAAAAGAAAAGGAAAAATAAAATAAAATAAAATAAATTACAAAAAAGGCCAGGCGCATTGGCTGCAGGCCTGTAATCTCAGCACTTTGGGAGGCTGAGGCAGGAGGATGGCTTGAGCCCAGGAGTTCAAGGCTGACTTGAGCCACGTAGCAAGACCTCGTCTCTACTGAATAAAAATAAAATACAATTAAAATTTTAAAAACCGGAAAGAGAAGAGGCTCATAAATTAGCAATACACGTCAGGGTTCTGATCACGAAAAGCTCTGCGTTCGTTTCATTTCAATGTAAACACAGGACTCAAAGATGAAATGAGAGTAAAAACTGAATGCATCTGCACGGAAATGGAGCAACGTCGTGGGACCCTTCGAGGAGGAGGCCGTTTCTGCGGAATCAGCACTCCTGCCCCCTCCGCCTCCAAGGAACGTCAGTTCAGACAGCGCGAGCCATCTCCTGACGCGCTGAGCTAATCTACGATGGGGTATTAGCACCCGGACACTGTGCACGTGCCTGTCATCCCCTCTCGCCACGTAAACAGGAGGATGCCACCCAGGTTCTCGCACATAATACCTTCGTGACATCAAACAGTGTCACTGCAGTTCAAAGCACAGCCCGTGGAATTTTAATTTAAACAAGAAATGAGAACATGTCTAATATGGGACCGGGAAGGCGGTAGTCAAAGGGATGTCGAGATGTACACTGTTCAATATAATTGGATATGCGGGCTCCAAATGCCACCTCTCATTCCACGGGCTTAGGGGGCTAGATTGATACCAAGCCAGCCAGGTGGCTTACTTCTGCTGCCCAGAGGCCCTGGCACACACAGGTCCCAGGAGACATGTCTGGCTGCCCCAGAAGGGTGAGCATGCTCTCCCATCCATCACTGTCTTTCCTTCGCCTTCCCCTTTTCCCTCCACAGGGTATGGAACAGCCTCCATTGTTGCCTTCCTGGGTGGGCGAGAAGGGGGTCACCAAAATGGAGGCTGGAATAGGAAGGCTGGGCCTCCAGAAGCAGACACCGCAAATCTGTAGCTCAGGCCAAGAAACAAAAGAGTCCAAGCCATGGCAGTGAGGCTGCTCCTTCTCACTCACAAAACAGCCTCAGAGGGCCATGGTCTGAGCCTCTCGGTGCGTGCTCTCTGTGGATAACACTGCACCCGTGTCCAAGAGTAACTCAGTCATTTGATATGATTTCCGCTAGGCTAGCCCCTGTGAGCTAGCCTGGGAACTTTGCAACCATCAGAACTGCAACGCTGGGGTGGTTTGGCTATTCTTTCTGCATGGAACACTTGAGCAGAAGGGACGCTGGCAATTTAAAACCATTTTCTCAAGCGCCCTTAGCTAATAAAGCCTGACTGGAAAAAAAGATTCTAACATCTTCCCTGCCTACAGTCTGCATGTGAGAGGTCTATAGTTAATACTGTGGGTTAGAAAGTCAGTCTTTAAGCGTTAGCCACTGGCATGTATATCATCTAGGTCTCACCAGGAGGTGGATACTAGCAGTTCTGAATCACCTCTGACAGAGTAAGCTCTGTTATCTGTAAATGTATATCCCCAGCGGTCCAGGGCTTGCTTCGTCTAACTCTACATCAAGAGGCCACATGGCCACAGAAGGGACAGAGTGGGGTGTCGAGCTGCTGACGCGTGAGTGTGAGAGTGGTCTGTGAGCTCTCAGATATACTTAAGCATGTCTCCAGGTTCTCAGGGGCTTTTAAAAAAAATCGATTGGGCCAGGTGCAGTGGCTCATGCCTGTAATCTCAGTGGGAAAGCAGCTTGATGTCAGGAGTTCAAGACCAGCCTGGGCAACATAACTAGATGCCCATCTTTAAAGAAAACAAAAAGCCAGGCATGGTGGCATGCGCCTGTAGACCCAGCTACTGAGGTGGTTGAGGCTAGAGGATCTCTTGAGCTCAGGAGTTCAAGACCAGCCTGGGCAACATAGCCAGACCCTCATCTCTTAAAAAAACGAAACCCAGAGAGACAACCAGGCATGGAGGCATGCACCTGTAGTCCCAGCTACTGAGGAGGCTGAGGCTGGAGGCTGGAGGCTCTCCATCCCTACAAAAAATAAAAAATAAGTTAGCAGCGCATTGTGATGCACGCCTGTAGTGCTAGCCACCCAGGAGGCTGAGGTGGGAGGATCACCTGAGCCCAGGAGTTTGAGGTTACAGTGAGCTATGCTTTCGCTACTGCACTCCAGTCTGGGTGACAGAGTAAGACACTGTCTCTAAAAGAAAAAGAAAAAAAAAACAAACAAACCAGATTGGTTTAGGAGCCTAAATGCGTTTCATCTTTTTGTTTCTGAAACTCTTTTTCCTGGACTCTGGTTTGCATGCAAGAAGCGTAAGTCAAAAGGAAATGTTACATTCTAAATGTGGGTGAAAATGTAAATACACTGAGCTTCAAAAGAAATGAGTTTAGTTAGAATGCTAAAAAAAAAAAAATCCAGACCCATGTGTATAGAGATTGTTCATTACATTTTATTTCCATTTAACTACCTATCTGAGGTTATAATAAGGAAATGAAGTCATTCTGGAATGGGGAAACGTATTGCATGATGATGGTGAAGACTGGGAGATACAGTCAGAGGAAAGGCAACGGCTCCTTTGTGCCCAGTGGCCTTGAGTTTCACGTTATTTTTATAAAGCAACACTAACCAGTTTCCCCTAGATGAGAATGACACCATGGCAGCGTACCTAAGTGTGCTGTCACGGGTAAATATCTTGGAAGGGTGTAAGCTGAGGGATATTAAAATAGTTCTGGGCAATTTAAAACTTCATGCTTCTCATAAAAATACTCATTAGCCAGGTATCACATCTAATCAATCAGTTATTTTAATAAAAGGTAGACTCGTTGGGTCCCTCGTGAAAATTCCAGTGAGCGGGATAAAGATGTGGGCATGTTATGGCGTTTCAAATCTGACTTAAGATGGTCCCATAATGAATCTTCACCCAGAAAGTTGACAGGCTTCTGGGGAGAAGTGACAGATTACCTCATTTGGTTTCTTTTTTTTCTTACTCTTAACAGTCCAGGTCCTGAGATGGAAGGAGAGACTGGGCAAGGGGACGGGAAATGGGGAAAAACGGAGAACTCACTTTCTGAGGCACTCGCGGAACACATCCGAGAAGGCCTGCTCTGGCGGACTTCCCATCCCTCTCGGGAGAGAGTGGGAACCACCACACTCAGAACAAGACAGACGAAAACCTCAGGCTGGCCCAAAGCAAGACAAAAAGCTATAGCGACATTGTGGAGCTCCTTGGACACTGTTGGGCTCCCCAAAATTGTGGGGCTCCCCGAACACTGTTGGGGCTTCCGGACATTGTGGAGCTCCCCAAAATTGTGGGGGTTCCCTGGGCACTGTGGGCTTCCTTGATACAGTGGGGCTTCCTGGACATTGTGGAGCTTCCCAAAACTGAGGGAGCTCCCTGGACACTGTGAGGCTCCCTGGATATGGGGGGGGGCGCTCCCTGGGACCAGGGGATTGGGTTCCCTGGACACTGTGGGGCTCCCCAAAACCGAAGGGGTTCCCAACACTTTGCTGCTGTCACAGGGTGAGATTGTCAGTCGCGCCTCAATTTCCACCCACTACTTTAAAACTCTTCTGGGAAGTTCAAGGGTCATCACAGTGTTTCATGCCCCAGTAGACATGTGACAATGTAAACAAAAGGATGGGTGTTTGGGACTGTCAGGATTAACATTTGTGTTCAGTGTTTTGGAAGAAGAGAACAGAACACATTTCTAAAGCTGCGATTCAGACGCAGAAGTCACAGTGAAGCTTCTTGGCCCTTCTAGAGGGAAACAGTTCACAGTCTGCCTCTTCTTGGGAAGAGGCTCTGAATTCAACTGCTTCTGGGACACAAATTTCAGGCATGAGGTATCATATGGATCCCACAGTCGCACAGAATATGCCCAAATAAACTCCTAATACTATTCCTTTTGAGGAGTGAGGTGAGTATAATTTAGCTACTAAGCAGACATTACAAATTGAGCATCTGTGTACTTTGGCAACAACACCAGAAGACAACAGATGTACACTAGCCCTCTGTCCCCCAAAATAAAACAAGGCAAACAGGCATTTCAGGGAGCACCCCTGGAATTCAGTGGGGGTCCTTCCCAGCTCAGCCTGGAGCTGAGATGCCGTGGGCTCCGGGGCAAAGCCGTGTTGGGGATCGTGGTGCAGGGAAGCAGGTGTGGCAATCCAGAGGGACGGCACACCCGGCGACCTTCCCTGCTCACCCCCCAGCACCTCCTTCGCAGAGCCCTGGTCCCCGCTCTGACCCCCCGGGTAGGCTCCTCAGAAAGGAAATGCCTTTGACTCTTTCCATATGGTGAAGCTGAAAGCAATGCCATTTGAAGTATACTTGTTAAAGTGTAAATGGCATGAATTTTATGGGGGGAGGCACCCCAAACAGATCCTGTTGGAGGGACAGATAACTCGCTTCACAGTGACAGGTGATTTTGACTTAGAATGTGTCGGTAAAGATCCAGACAACAGACAAGGTGGCACAGAGACTTCAGCATCTACAAATGCTCCCTGGAAGAGAAAGACTTTTGCTAAAGTCTTTGCAAATAAATATACAGTCTCAATAACAAAATTTTTCATGAAGTTCAATTAAGATAGCTGAATTAAAATAGACATGTATACCGGGCCCAGTGGCTCAGCCTGTAATCCCACGCCTTTGGGAGGCTGAGGTGAGTGGATTGCCTGAGCCTGCGGGTTCGAGACCCGCCTGGGCAGTGAGACCTCATCTCTACAATAAATCAAAAAATCAGCCGGGCGTGGAAGCGCACACCTATAATTCCGGCTACTT